ATATATATCATAGAGTACCTAAAAAGATAGAATTATTAGAATGCAATGGGAATGTGCAAAACCATGTAACTGCTCTCACATAGTAAGATAGGAAGTTACACGCTTACCAGAAAAGACACAGAGGCTCATGCATTTGTACACTGCAGAGGTTCAAAGATCAACAATCCAGGCAAGGAACAACAGAAAAGGAAAAAAAAAAAAACCAAAAAACCTCCTCACTTTGATAAACTCATTTTCATTTAGCTAATATCTTACGTAAACCCATATTTTTAGTTCAGATATTCTCAAATGACCATTTCTGACACATTAAAATTTTCCAGTGGAAGAATACAACCATGGGCAGCAAATATAAACCTACTGATAGTAGATGTGCTTTTTAAATTACTTTTTGTGGATTCCTCAGAAGGTAGCCACAAACCTCAGGTTGAAAGCCAGTAATTTACTTCTTCTGACCTTGCAAAGACCTCTTTGTGCCACAAGTTTTATATGGCCTTCAACAACCTAATTTACTTTTAAAAACCACAACATATACAGTAAGTTGAAAAATATCCCTGTGCATTTACTGGTAAGCAGGTTTTATTTCATTTTTACCAATGTTAGCAGTTCACTGGATTGCATCACAGTGATTATACAGCCTATACAGCAACTTGCAGAAAAAACATCCATCTGACATTTCAACCAAAGCTCTAATAGAAACCCCAATATTATACTAAGAAAAAGAAGTCAGCAAAAGTCCCACCTGAACAAATAACGCAAATCCAAAGAACTACTGAAGGGATAAAAAGCCTGTATTCATTTGCCAAGTGGTAAAATATAATAAAAAAGTGAAATTAGGTACTTAAAACTCCTAAATAACCAGAACTGTTGTAGACCAAAGCTATTTTTCAATCTAAATACCATTGGGGTGGATGTGTTTTTCTTTCATCCACTGGAAACAAAAGTCATGCTATGTCAGCATACAGACTGCTAAATAAATCAAGAAGGTTGGTCAAATGCATGTTAAAACATTAGAGAGAAAAAGAACATTCCATAACATATTTAGTCTTCCTGAAAGTTGCTGGGGAAAAAACCAACACCAAAAAAAAACCAGCCAACCCCAAAAAAACCCTAATTTACAGGAAAAAAAAAAGGATTTAGAAGATCCTTTTGTCTGTCAAACAGACAAATTGTAAAAAGACAGTATGAAAACATAAAAGAAAACAAAGAAAGAGGTAGAATTCAGAAATAAAATGGGAAAAAATTGTAGTTATCCTTGTATATAAGGATAACTTATATACAAGGATATAAGTAAAACATACAACAGTGAAAAGAAAGATTATCATGCAAAGCAAAAAGCTGCAGAATTAATATGTTCAGTAATCTTACTCAAGGGTAATTTTTAAGTTAGACATAGTTGCCACATTGTCTTACCAAGAATTCAAGAAATCTTCTAGAAGAAACATATATTACTTCTGGAACACAAGCTCGGACTACATTTTAAACCTAGAGAACTGCAATCTTGTCAAATGTAAGAGAAAAATAAATCAGACAAGGCAGAATTTACTAGCATTAAATCTGATATTAGGCTGCCCTCTTCAACCGTAAAATCATAGAATATCCTGAGTTGGAAGCAACCAACAAGGGTCATCGAAGTCCAACTCCTGGACCTGCACAGGACAACCCAAAACTGAACCATTAATTGGAAGGATTCATGTCCTTTTTTGAAAAAAATGCTTCAGTATTTGTAAACCATGGAAAGTGAAACTATAGAAGTATGAAGAAATCTATCAATAGCTTGTCCAAGTGTAGTGGTATCAGAAATGAATCCATGTCTAAGTGAATTCTCATCACAGTCTATTCTTAGTATGGATTTTCCTATTCAATGAGAAGTATGCACAGATGATGGGCAAGTCTGTCAAACTGCTTTTGAAACAGACAAAACTGCCATACTTGGTCCATAAGATCTCTTTCCTCCTTTCCTCCCACAGCTCAAAATATAACAGATAACCAAAATGTTGCCCCTGCTCACTTCCTCTACAGATCTTAGAATGGTATTAAGGTGCTAAAAATTTTGAAGAACACACACTTGAGAAAAGCAAAGTTCAAGTATTTTTTTAAAAAAATACGCAGAATTCAGATCTCTATTGCCTTCTGAAAGGTGTCTGTCCTTTATGGAAGGTAAAAGACTTCCCCAAAACCTGGGCTTTGAAACTTTTTTCCACAGATCATACTTATTCAACTGATTTGTGAAATGTGGTGCTTTATTTGAAAGTGGATTCTGTATCTTCTTACGTGGTTACAACTCATGACAGAAATAAACAGCAGCTCAGAGGACTGGAGCAGCATTTGATTAACTGACAGAATATACTCAGACTAGAGGATAAACCAAGAACTTCTATACACCGAGTGATACAGAAATGCCTAAAAGTCACATGACATGCGTATATTTCCCAAACAAAACCGGACAGGCTTTGTTGACATTGCTGTGTGGCTGTAGTGACTGTGTACTATAATGAGCAAGCTGCCTATCAGATGGTTCTCTTGTAGCCATAACCCTCTCCTTTTTCCTAGAAAGTCAATTTATGCAAAATGCAATGGGAAACCATAAAATTAGAATTGTAGCACTCAGATGCTGCATTGGTACAACTTATCTTGCATCACAAAACCTGTGGGGACATAATGTGTCTCAATATGAGAAGAAAAGAAAAAGAGGGGAGAGGAGAGGGAAGAACCAAAGAAAAAAAATGAAAGTCTGACTCTGACCTGTATTATTTACAAAAAAATCAAATTCTACAGTATTTCAGGAAAGAATTACTCATTCAATAATGTGACAACTTTTTTTGCTAAGATCTGGCAGGGCAAGGAGAGAATAAAACATGTAACTCCCGAAAGGCAAGTGATTCTACCAGAAGATACAAATAAAAATAAACTATGACTTTTTCTGTGTATTTGAATTACTTTGGTATTGAACAGCATGTGTAGCTTGAAGATTTCCTCTTTTTGGCTTCAGATCTACATTGTAATTCAATAAGGGCAGTTCTCTTTCCTGGTTTTCAGAAGAAACAAATATGTACTCTGGAGTAGCATATCAACAAAATCATAATACATTATCTTAGCAATTGGAAATGTATCACCATAATAATCCATACAGTGATAACTGAAGTCACAGTTAAGTATTTAATCTTGCAAATCAAATGGAGAACATAGCAAGTGATAGAAAAATTGAGGCCAATATGATGAGAAAATGATTTCCCAGTTCTCCTGTGTAAATTAGAGCAATTTGCTTTCCATTTCACACCTAAGCCATGGAAACAGGAAATACAGCACATTTCCTTACGTTGTAAGGAATTCCAAACTTTCAGACCACTGCTATTTCAATGTAGGCCCCCAAATGTAAGTGGTCAGAGGAAGAAACAGCCCTCTGCTTTACATTAAAACATTTAAAAATTTTTCCTTGCCTTGATGGCAGCACTTAGTTCTCCTAAAGCTCAGACCATCACATAATTAATTCTATTTCGTCCTCTTAACAAGTATTTCTGGAGCAGTAGGTGGCAATTAAGAAGTGCACATCCTAAAACCATTACCACAGGTAGAAATGAGAAATTCAGTTTTACCTGTTAACAGGCAAACATTAATGCAATAGAAAAATGTATAGTCAAACACAGAAGAAAAAGTGAACAGCTGCTTCATTCCCTACAAAATAACTGTAGTGAACAGTGCTGCAGAAACATGGGTCAAAGCATTGCACTGCAGATGGGTCACAACTCAGTTGATCAAAATCTTTTGCGTCCTCTTCTCCTTTATAATAATTTGAGGAAGGACCTTGTTTAATTAGCTAATTTACACTTCGTATGGTCTTTTTCCAATAGAAATAATTTCAGATTTCCTTTGTCTAAGGTTCCAGTTTTATGGCTTTGGGATATTAAATTCATCCATTTTAGATAAGCCGCTGTGCTGTCACTGTGTAATAATTATAACATTTAGATCATGACAAAAAGAATATAGTGTAGTTTTACGAGATGCTTTACTTAACATTGCAGTGAAAGGCTGTAAAAGTCTGCTTACCAGAAACCAATGTACTTCAGTACACAGTCCCCACATTTACAGTTGTGCCTTTCCACGCGAGGCTGAAATTACCTCTCCTTTGCAGACTCCAGATACATTTGTCCCTTTTTTTCCCTGTTTTGTATACCTCATCAGGACAAAACCATGCCACGGCTCCATTTCAAATCCTCAATGTAGATTTGAATTTTAAATTCTCCTTCCTCTCCCCTCACACCAAAACCAAAAAGCCTGGGTACTGGTATCATTGTAGGCTATACATCCCAAATAGCACACAACTTCTCTTCAAGCCAGATACTATTGTCCAGTAAATTTGCTCTCCTAACACATAATAAAATGTCACAGACTTTGAATTATACAGTCTCAGTACTTCTCTTGGCCTGAGACAATTTTAGTTGTGATAATGACTGCCTTGAAGTCAGGTGACAATTGCCTAGCTTGTTAAACTTCATTCTATGGGTATCATATATGCAAAGGTCTGACAAACTTACATAGTCACTGCTTAGAGAACAGGCTATGTTAACTGGGGCCAAGAGAGGCTGACTATGAACTTTGACCAATTGTAACTGGGTGAAAACAGTAAAACTTTACTTGGGAACCAGAAAAAAGAACAAGTAAACAGATAATGTTTTATAAAACATTTCTGTTTTATAAAACAGAAAAGTGCTGTAACCATGGTAGAAAAGGAAAATGCTAGTGCAGTGACAGTACCCCACTGCAAACCAGCATTGACAAAAGGACAGGGAGAATTTGCTTCACTTAGAAGGAAAAGCCATGCAGCGATACCATGGGTTTCTGAGATTTCATCGGATGGTATAGAAAAGTAGAAGGGAAAAGAAATCTGATTGAAAACCTTCCATCTCATCTCCCATCATAAATTAAATGAGGTTCAACCAGATTTAGCCAAGCTAGCTGGAACAACTAGCTCTGGAATCATAGACAGCCTTCAAACATTCAAGTAAGCAACTCTCATCCATACCTTTATCCAAAGTTTGAGCACACAGAAATGTTGACACTTTGCTGACAAATAAACGACTTCTGCAACCCCTTCCTGAAGCAGAGGAGTTAGGAAAAATTATGGCTGTCTGCAAAGGCTTATACCAATAAGAGTTCAGTAAGAGCATACTTCTGCAGTTTGTTTTCACATAACAAGTGAAGTTAAAATTCAGTAATATAATGAGAGGTTGTACTTATGTTAATGAATAAACAACTTATTATATTTGCTTCTTTTATCATACTCAGCTATTAAAGGTACACATTAAAGGCTCAGGTGTGAACAACTGGTATCACCATTATAGTCTACCTGGATCAGTTTTGTGCCTGCAGTATTATGCCTACTTGCCATACATAATGAAGACATTTGAGAACTACAGCTCATTTGAGAAGCCACTTGCACACTGCTTCCAACACCAACACCAAATGCTACGTAGGATCAGAAAGAACAAATATATTAAGTTCACCAATTTGAGCATTTTATTCACACAGAGATTCCCCCTAACAGTAGTGGTCTGTGGTTTTTATCTCCTTTTCCATATTAAAGCTTTCCGCTTCTATAAAACTTTCTCATAATTTTTACTATCTACATGTCATGTTTCAGCTAGGATAGAGTTAATTTTCTTCCTAGTAGCTGGTAGAATGCTGTGTTTAGAATTTAGGATGAAAATAATGCTGGTAACACTGGTGTTTTAGTTGATGATGAGCAGCATCTGCCCTAAGCCAAGGACTTTTCAGTTTCCCATGCCCTGACAACAAGGAGGCGTTCAAGAAGCTGGGAGGATGCATGGCCACAATAGCCAATCCAAACTAGACAAAGGGATATTCCATGCCATCGTGCCTGGTATATAAACTGGGGGGAGTTGGCAAGGAAGGGCCAATTACTGCTCTGGGATGGGCTGGGCATCAGTCAATGAGGGGTGAGTGATGGTATTGTGGATCACTCATCTTTCTTGGGTTTTACTCCTGTCTTTTTCTGTCTCTCTTTTCATTGTAACTTTAATATTATTAAATTTATTTCAATTATTAAACTATTCTTATCTCAACCCATGGGTATAATCTTTTCCCCAATTTCCCTTCCCATGACATGGGGGGAGTGTGAGAACTGGGGCAGACACCTGTGTGGTACTTCATTGCCAGATGGAGTTAAACCAGGACACTACATTAAGCCATTTAACTACATCTTTCAGTAACCTTTGTTTGCTTTCAGATAATCAGTGCACTTCAGTTCTTTAAGTGAATATATATATCTCCATATGCTGGGGCTCTATCTTATCTTCAACAGGTAAAGTCAAAGTTAAAAATTTCAGTATAAAAAACAAATTAGTTGTTTAGGATTCTCCCTCTGGTGTAATTTCCAAGTTTTTTGTTTCACATCTTCTATAATGTTTCAAATCATAGGCCCACACAGTGTCTATTCCCTCTCCAGTAGTATGATCTGGAATCCAGCAGGGGAAAGGAAAGCGACAGGCAATGATTCTGGCATTACATTCAAGTTCTTCTTTCAGCTTCTTCTCCAACTGTGGCATCTGTTGAGTAATAATAAAAAGCTTTCAGAAGCAGTAAAAACACAGAAGCATTCTCTTTAGAATCTAATTCAAGTGTTCAAGAGAAGTCCAAGGTTTGAGGATTTTTTTTAAACTCTTACAAAAGTATGATATATATTTTGGCTTTGATACCTTGACAAAGAATATCTAAAACTAGAAAATGGCTATTGTGCCCAGTTGGTGACATCTAAGTTCTAAAAATTAAATCAAAAACTTATCCCTTAGATTAAAAAAAAAAAGACAAAGAAAAGACTTTGCATGTTCCAAGTCATGATTCCCTTCAGTGGGATTCTTCTCTGTAGAGAATGAAAGCTCAGCCCTCTGAATTTATGCTATTTCTGACACCCCTAGGTTTATGAGCTATTGTGTGGAACTCAAACAAAACCAGTGCTCATAATTTAAAGTCTAACCCCAAGACAGATACTAGGACACCCAAAACATCACACAGACAACAACTGAAAGCAAACATTCTGCTGTCACTGTATGGAGAAGTGTTGGTATGTGAAATGCTATTGAAATTGAGTTTTGATGAATCCACAGCCTTTTAACACATGCAAGTCCCTGCAGCAGCACTGCATGAAACAGAATGTAGAATCACAGAATAGTTTGGATTGGAAGGGACCTTTAAAGGTCATCTAGTTCAACCCCCCTGCCACGGGCTGGGACATCTTCAACTAGATCAGGTTGCTCAGAGCCCCAGCCAGCATGACTGTGTTTTTACAGTGATGGGGCATCTACCACCTCTCTAGGCAACCTGTGCCAGTGTCCACCATCATAAAAATATTCTTACATCTAGTTTGAATCCACCCTCTTTTAGTTTAAAACCATTACCCTTTTTTTTGCCACTACAGGTCCTACTAAAAAGTCTGTCCCCATCTCTTCTAAGTACTTTAAGTACTAAAAGGCCACAACAAGGTCTCCCCAGAGTCAAGTCTTCTCCAAGCTGAACAACCCCAACTCTCTCAACTTGTCTTTATAGGAAAGGAGCTCCAGCCCTCGATGCTACACCCTCTGATCATGCTTGTAGCCTTCCTCTGAACCTGCTCCAACAGATCCATATCTGTCTTGTACTGAGGACCCCAGAGCTAGATGCAGTACACCAGATGGGGTCTCACCAGATCAGAGGGGCAGAATTCCCTCCCTCGACCTGATGCCCACACTGCTTTGGATGCAGCCCAGGATACAACTGGCTTTCTGGGCTGCAAGTGCACATTGCCGGCTCATGTTCATATTTTTTATCCACCAGCACCCCCAAGTCCTTCTCAGCAGGGCTGTTCTCAGTCTGTTCATCCCCCAGCATGTGCTGATACCAGTGTTGCCCCGGCCCAGGTGCAGCACCTTGCACTTGGTCTTGTTGAACTGCATGATGTTCCCATGGGCCCACCTCTTGTTCAGGTCCTTCTGGATGGCCTCCCATTCTTCAGGCCTGTCAACTGCACAACTCAGCTTGGTGTCATCTGCAAATTTTTCTGAGGGTGCACTCAATCCCACCATTTGTGTCATTAATGAAGTTATTAAGCAGGACTGACAGACCCCTGAGGAATAGCACTTGTGATCAATCTCCATCTGGACATTGAGCCACTGACCATTATCCACTGGACAGAGCCATCCAGTCAATTCCTTATCCACTGAATAGTCCATCCACCAAACTGATCGTGCTCCATTCTAGAGAACAGGATGTTGTGGGGGACCATGCCACATACCACTATGTAACTCTCCTTGGTTGAACACCTATGATCTAGCTCTCCTCCATTCACAAAAACTGAGATGATATAAAAGTCAAGGGAAATACCACGACTTTTCTAGAATAGAGTAACACCCTTCCCAGTCAGATGTTCTCCTCGTAAATTTTGCTGTGAATTAAGTGAGAAATGAATTAACGCACCTAGAATACAAAGATCTCAGATAGTGATTAAGTTCCTGATGAAAAAAAAGAAAAAAAAAAAAAGAGAAACTTAACAGATTTAGCCATTTTTGTCCTTCGGAAATTTTGATGGCATTGGCATGCTTAAGCAGATCAGCAGTATACATCCATTTGGAGTTCCTTTTATTCTTACATACTGTATGCATCTGAATGAGCAATTACAACAGCAAACTCCACAGGCTACTTCTATTATGTGTAAAAATTCTATTTACTTTGATATATTGATGATGCAACATTTAGATACTAAAAGGTTAAAAGGACAGTAATTATTTACAAATGTAGCTCACCTTAAGACACAAAACATATAAAAATTCCACAAAAATGGAAAAAAACCCAACAACAACAAAAAACAAACAAAACCAAACAAAAAACCAAACAAAAAACCAAACAAAAAACCAAACA